CACACACACACACACACACACACACACACACACACACACTTATCAGGGTGTCCAGCTGTCGAGCTTAGCCAGGTCTGCAGAGGCAGATAAGGACCAAACATCTTTCATTAACACCAACGTTTGGGTCTGCTTGTTCTGGGCACAGGTGTCAAATTGTCTGTTTATGGTATCATAAAAACTCACAAGAAGAGTTTGGATGAGCCGTCTCAACCTTGTACGACTTTATGGGTTTATTATTGAGTCGTAAATGCACATGACCTACTTCATTCATCTCAGGTGTCTGCCGTCTTGGCGGTGAACAGATGAATTTGGCCAAGTTCTCCATGGAGAGGACTGCTTGAGGAATTCCTGAAAAAAACAAACAAACACAAGGCAATTATTTTATTAGTTCATGAAAAAAAAACACAAACTGTAATTGCCTTTGTTGGGTCAAGCAGCACAGATCAGTGTTAAACCTGAGAGCAACTCTTTGGGTCTTCAGTTCAGACATTTCAGGATCACGGTCAGCTCTGTCCTGCTGGCTGTTGCGCAACGATTGTTTAAATCCCTGCTATTGTTCCAGCGCAGAGCTGCCCTTCCTGTTCTGACCTCAGTGTCAGACAGTTTGCCAAAGTTTTCTGCAAGGTACACACTCACAGAACGTCCATTCTGTCCATGCGTGGGCCTGTTTGTTCCTTCAGATTGAATCGTGTAGGAGGGCAGAGGATCCAAACAGCCTCCTGCGTACTGTGTGTTGATAAAACTGCAGCACCTGTTGCTCAACTCAGCTTCATGCATTATTGTGCTATATTATCCATTACATAAAATCTGTGTATGCACTTTCATTTGTCTGTTGTGTTACCAAAAATCACATGAACCACTGAATAGTTAGAATAGATTTCAATGAAACTTTCAAAAAGTGACTGATTAACTTTGGGAGTTAACCTGATTTGATATGGTCTCCACACTGAATCTGCCTTATTAAACTAAACTAAAACGTCCACGAGGCTGAGAAACTCCTGTGAGACATCCTTGTATAAAACGGTGGCRTTAACTGTTTAAGTCAGTTCTGTTCTTCTAATCTCATTAACCACTGGACAGATTTTAACTAAACTTTTAGAAAGCAATCATTTGTTGTACAACCTTAGCAAACTCCAAAATGACAGGCTGTTTTACCGATTCGGAGCTAGAATTGTATGCATGGTAGTKGTTGGGATCCTTCAAGGAAAGCTTGACCTTTAATTAAGTTTTGCGTCACAGATTTTATTTTAGATGCATCATAACTGAAACGCACTCTCTTTAAAAGCGTGTGCCACTTTAATTGCAACTGTTACTAGAAAAAAAAACAGACTTCTTACCAAGTTTAGACCTTTGTGGAGTCATAATGCCTCCGAGCAGCTAACCCAAAACCAGAGTTGAAAAAAGGGCAGGCAATGAAATCCAACCCAACCACACAGAAAACACCATTCAAGAGTGAATGAACATCTCGGACTAAACTTTCTGCTTCTCTGTCTCCTAGTTTTTTCATATGCCTGAGTGTGTTCACAATGAAGGAAAGCAGTCTTACTTCTGATGGTGAACACAAAGACAGTGTTGATAAGAAAAGGCAGTTTGATGTTATCTTTCAAGATGACTGTCTAGACTGATATTTGTGCAGAACAGGGTGTCAGAGAAAATGCTGTAAGTGATTTATAGTACAGAAACAGAAAATGTCTGAGCTACTTTAAACTCCTAGGAGGCTAATCTGTTTGGGGTGGAGATAATTTAAGGATGCATTGAAGCTCTGAGGTGATAAAAGCTTTGTGCCTCCTGGGTTTAAACTAAAGCTTATTGTCTTTGTAGCAGGTTTGGATGTCCTCGTTTAAATTTTATGAAATGTTTGACAGATAAAGACATCAGAAATGTCTCACCAAAGTCCTGAATCCAGACCTTAGATATTTAGAGCTTCTTATTGACATATGTTGCTGTGACTGACCACTGAATGAAACACAGTTGCTTGGTAGTCCTCCAAATTAATGGCGCCCTCTACTGAGATGTGTGCATGATTTTCAACATGGGCAAAAAAATAAAATAAAATAAAATAAAATAAAATAAAAAAGGATAAAATTCTCAGAAGGTAAAAATAAATTATTTATTAGTTTGTCCAGTTATTGCCTACACCTGGCTGAGATGTAGGCAGTGGTTGAATGAAGAGATGCAAGAACTGATCCACTGAAATATTTATTTATTATGATTAACAATTAATTATTATTATTAGAAGCATTAAGCAACAATATATACACATCTAAATCTTAAAGACTGTAGAGGAGTTCTATAGTATTTTTTTAATTGGGTGAATGTTGAGTCAGCAGTTTTCCTCATCCATTTTTTATTTATTATTATTTTATTTAGGAACATTTGCTCCTGCTTTGCACTATTTTAACCACTGGTTCAGGATTAACATTATGATTGATTGGAAATTGTTCACTTTGTCTTTTAGTATRGGTAAAGTTGAACCATTCCAAGTATTTAACTTTAATTATTTCCCCATTAAAAAACATTAAGAACTTTTGACTTCCATCGAGGAGAGTGTTCACTTTGAACCCTACATCAGCACACATCTACTTTCATCTTCTTAGTATTTTTTTAGCTTCAGTTTCACAAATTTTAGCTTATAGCTACTGCTTTGCTAAAATCAGCTTATAGCTACAGATTACTAATTTCAATTAGCTTTTAGCTATGGTTTTACTCATTTTAGCTTAAGGTTTTGCTAGCTTTAGAGGAGCTACTGCTTTTCTAAGCTACAGATGAGCTCATTTTAGCATTCAGCTACTGTTTTGCTACCTTTAGCTTGCTACTCCGCTTATCCGAAACATTTTTTAATACCATTAACTCTTTAATTCATWAATCACCTATCTCCAATGAATTATCTTCTGACAGTTGTGGGTTATTCTGTTCATTTTTTATTAATAACTTTGTCAGTATTAGAGCTCAGATTGTGCCGTCTTTCTCATCTGTTCACTATGAAGAGGTAAATCACTTTTTTACTTCATTCAATTTACTGTCACAGGCAGAATTAGCAACAACTAATAGTATGAAACCTTCCTCTTGTTCTTTAGATATTTTACCAACAAAATTTTTAAGGATGTTTTTATCTTTTTACTTCCTGACATTTTAACAGTTTTTAACAAATCATTAGCCACAGGGATAGTACACCCAAAATGTTTAAAACTGCTGTTGTCCAACCATTATTTTAAAAAAA